ACCGCGTTATTCCGTTTCCGGCCATGGGATACGCTATAATAAACCACACAGAAAAAACCACACAATCCGCGCACGGATATGTTAATGTCTGTTGAACTGCCAAAATGAGCTCGAGATTTTGGACCGGTATCAAAATACGTGGTAAACGCGCTAAACTCCCACCGCCGGCGATTTATTTTATTTTTGCAGCTCGGCTTTTTTCATAGTTATTTATATATTCGGTACTTACTATAAAATCGTTTTCTTTCTGGTAAATCGTTAATCGAAATATATATAATTTATAGTTGTGTAATTATATATTATATACATACACACAATAATGACAATGTATAAGCCACACCAAACAAAAATATTATGCTAGAAACGGTTTATAATATTATATATTATAATATTATTACAATATTGCACAGGTATACGCCGTTAAACGGCCACGTCGTCTTCGGCCATCGCACATAAAGTATACATATTATGGCCGTATAGGGTACTAAATAATATTAAATGATCGTCGTGACCGATTATTGGACTTAACATTATTATCATGTGTAGATGTATTCAATTTCCGATGCCCCAACGTGACTTCGGAGATTGCACTGCAACATCCCAGGTACGCAAACCCCGAGGACTGTCAATTTTTTTATGTCTGCGTCAACGGCGACACGCCAAGGAGAAACGGCTGCAAAATGGGACAGGTGTTCAACGAAGCGTCGGGAAAATGTGATTGGCCCAGAAATGTTCCCGAGTGGTAAGAATAAAAAAAAAAAAACTACGTTATTTATAGAATAAAAGCCTCGAAAAACGATCTCGTCTTTATAAAGACAAGTATAATAGTATGTCGTGGACTATATATATTTATATATAATATATTTGCGGTCGCTGAAAATCGTTATATAACTGTCGTAATCGTCAACTGACAGATTTCACGTGAACGAAAACCGCGGACGGGGTAACGACAGTTGAGTGCATTATCAATAATGATATTATGTAGATTATATAACAGACGCGAATTATTAACCGTAATGGTAGTTCGAAAGCCGGAACGTTTTTCTTTGGCTTCAGTGTAAATTATGCATGGGTTGCTGACTTCTCGTGTGCACTGCGATAATAATGATTTATCGTGACGAATTTGTTTCCAGTGCCGACTGGTATAGAGGCGTGCTGACAGACGAGGAACTTTACAATCTCGAGAATCCAAAACCCAAAGAAACAACTAAGGAGAAAGAGGCGGCGGCGGCAAGCAGACGGAAGCCGTCAAGACCATCAACTACGAAACGAACGGTGGCAGAAGACGACGAATGAAATAATTAACTAATTGTAACTCTGCAATTCGATATTTTCAATAACTGTATCAGGAAAACTGATCTCATTTGGACATTAAGTCGAAGTTAAAAATAAATGATATATTTTCACAATAAATGACACCTGTGCCTACTTGTTCTTTTTTATTTTAATGTTAAATAATAATAATGTGGTAATTATAATCATTATTACCTACAACCCAACTCTCTATAATATAAATACACTCATTATCTAAGCGGTTTATTTATAATATATTTTTGCAGTTTATAAATTATAGTTTTAAATCCATATTTAGGTCGCACAGTTTTTTCGTTACTAAACGAGACAATTTTAAATGTCAACATGTAACCCGTTTGACCATAATGTCTGCTTAACATGTAAATTACTGTGAATACTATACAGTGTGATGCTATACACACTACAGTCAATTTGGGTATAAGGTAAGGAATCTACAATACTCTACTGTGCAGTAACGCATACATGATTTACGTATTATTCATTCTATTTGCAAGGTGTTTTGAAAGATGAACACTTCTCCAACATTTTTATTCTTAACACAATCTCGTCGAAATTCGGCATAAATTGTTTTCAAGGTTAAACGATAAAAGAAGAAAATAAAAAGTGAGTGAAACTCGACTATGGAGTCCAGCACACCAACATAGTTGCTGCAAATTTCAATGCATAATTTATGAAGGGAAAATGTAATAAAGCGAAATTTGTTTGCTTGCGAATGTTTAAAGCTTATTGTTTTGCGTTTGATTTGAGTTTAATCGTTAATCTTTTATGTCCATTCTATCATAATACTTATTTCAGTGTGTATTTCAAATGCAAAGTCAAAATTCTTGTAATGATTTGATAAGAACAAATTGCTATTCTTGGCGAAAGTTTTGGGTTGCCGAATAGTGGACGACTGGCCATTAGGAATATCCTGAAAATAGATTCTACCAATCTATTATCATTAGAATAATAGAATATTATAGTGAAATAAATATAAGCTAAGAAGCTAAGTTCCGAACACTTCTCTAATACATCGATAATATCGGCTAAATTATACATCTGTAGGCAGTTAGGCAACTAAAATATTTAGTCCTGTTTTTCATTTGTAACATTATTTTAATATATTTTTAATGGTCAATCGCAAACATTTTTTTATTATGTCCTCGGGTTGCAGAGGAAATGTTTTATCGTACAACGATTTGAGTTTTAAATACTCAATTTGAAATATCTACGTCTCGGCCGTCATAAAAATAAGAAATAACATATTATAAAATATATATTTCTTGTATATTATGTACGAAATACTTTTAGTAATTTAGTTTACTCCAATATTAAATGTTTGGTATTAAAACCAATTATATACTCCTGCAGTCCAAAAACTGCGGTTTAAGAAAATTATCGATTTCATTGGTAACCGTGGTAACCGTGGTCCGTGGTAACAAAAGTTGCGACCGATGCACCCGGGTGTCCTATAATATCCTTGTTGTATCTACCTAGTACTTATATTATAGCCTATAGGTAGTATAGAATTCTAAGAAGAAAAAATAACTATCGACGTGTTCTGCGTAGACGTGTACAGGGTCATTCGAGAAAAAAACTGTTTTTAACTATTAACTAGGAATCTATTATATAATATTATGTTTTGTTATCCGCATACGCCTTGGCTAGTACACGATTTTTCTTTGTACAAATATATGTTTTCAAATGAATATCTGCTGTATCTTTATTCTTTCTTGTACCTTTGTAAAGAAAAAATCTGGTATGAAAACGGTCATTGAAAATCGAAGGCAGACACTGTATAATGTATTATATGCATACTCAGTAATAAGCATAAAATTGCGCAAAATATTATAATGCTGAATTCGCACTATCGTAGTGTCGTGGACATATTATATATATATATATATTATATATTATAATATAATTAATAGTTGTAGTGTGATTTAACCATGAAAAAATGATGAAAAGAGTGCGTGTGCCTTAAATGTATCTTTGAACTACATTTTTTAGTAACATTCTAACGAGTAAAAGGTTTAACGTTTAACCCTCCTTTATTAATAAACATTATTACCTTCGTAAAATATCATGAAAAAAATAATTATTTAATATTAAAAACCGGTCTCACGTCCTAATATATTAGTCTTTTAGTTTTTAATTTTGTAAAAGGTCTTATTGTCTCATCGCATATTGTGTACACAAAAATAATATAAATTGTGACAGTGACAAATTAGAAGGTCTCCAAAAGTCCAGAACCCAGATGCGCACTCTACGTAATGTTGTAATATAAGTTCGTTGTCACTATTTTGTACACCATATTATATATAGAGCGATTCATTAAGCATGCACCTATCGTGGAATTATTCAAAATGCGATTTGTGGACTTGTGGAATTTTAGAAAATAGGTACTTTTTTACTGACTTACTGTATTTTAAAATTCTTGAAATTTTTTTGTACTTTACTTGAGGAGTCTCCTGTTGAAATAAAAGCTTCTATTTTTCAAATGACAACTACTCTTTTTTAGTGTAAACTGTGTAACGGATAATTTTTCTGTTTTACGTTTACAAAATATTATTTTTATTTAACTCTGCGCACTGAGGATAATGGATTTGGAAAACATGGGCATAAATTCATATTAATCTATAATTTATAAAAATGTTCAAGTATTATATTATATACTATATGTAAATTAAACATTAAATCTATTTTATATTTTCTTTAAACCTTTTTTAAGAGCTATTATCCTTAGTAGGCATAAACATTTTAATAATAGAAAAGCTTTTTGTTCTAATGTTGAATTAGATTTATAAAATTATCTATCACATAATTTACAGTAAAAAATGGGGTTCTCATTTGAAAAACAAAATCAAAATCACACAAATTTGAATATATGGTTTGTATATTTAAAAACTCCTAAAATCAGAATAATTGCATTAGCGAATAAGAAAAAGGGGTGAGCGTGCTTGATAAACCAAACTATTATGCACAGTATAATTTTTTTTCAATTAACTTCATTTTTCCGGTAAAAAAATATTTTAGTTGTAAACATGTTTTGTTTATTGAGTGATTTGAATTCATCACAACACAACTTTTTGGAAAAAAAGTATTTAAGTTTCTACTTTTATTTTTTTTTAAAGTAAATACATTTTTTATTTCTTATTCCGAAACCAATATTTTTCTAAAAATTTTTAAGTAAACAATTTGAGTATCAAACAAGTATAGTGAGTTATAAGTAGCTATTTTGTTTCAATATAAGCAGAGTGTGGCGGCACTACAGTATGAAACTAGTAAATGTCGGTGAACTACTGCACTATTAATGTAAGCGATATAACATATAATTTTTTTTCTTGTAAATGTAGTGTTGTAAATATTTCAAATTATGGAAAAAACACATATTTTCGAAAACACATAGATTTAATTGACCATTTATAAAATCACCATGTTAATATAAATATTAAAATGTATTATATAATTCATCGTCAAACGTAATACACGTATTTCGTACACGTACATAATATTTTAGATATTATATTATTCGAACGGAACATTCACATTGTTTAGAAATTGTATACAGTACCTCTGAGTCTGTGGTACCTACGGTTGAAAAACCTCGAAACGAAATCGATTCTTCGAACAATTTTTATTCACCTCAGATTTCCCATCCACGCCGCAGTGGCTATATACTTGAGACAGCCATCGGTAAGTGGGAGAAACTATAGAATGGTTTCCTGTTCTTCCGCCGAGGCCGCAGTCGCTTGCACATATCATCACGCATTAAGTTTTCAATTATGAACCTCTCAATAGTATTGTGCACGATAGTTATTGGAATATCCCATTTAACAAGTAAGACTTAATATTTATTTTAATTTTTAACTTATAAACTAAATACTAGCGTGACAATTTATTATTATTCAAATAATCAACGGCAGTCGAGAAAATATAAAATATACCAATCTACATTCGCGGAAAGCTAAACGAAATTCGTTTTGTTGACGGTATCGTTCAACTAAAATGTTTAAAAAATACAATGTATAAGTCTGCTTAAATTTTTCGAAATTTCTGTTGAGACGTCAGCCCCTGGGTAGTAGGTTAGATAAAAATGATGTTGGTCATTTGCAATTTTTTTCGAAGTTTTTTTTTTAGTAGGTACTTGTACAATATTTTAACACCCACTGTGCCGAGTTGGTCGCGCCCGGAATTCACTTTCACTGCGTCTTCCACAGCCGCGTTCGTCCGCGTGTCACGGCGTGTTATTATTATAACATACAATATACTCGAATCGAAAAAAAAACCCTCCCCGGAGAGTTGTAAATTTGATTTTTTTTTTCCTCGCCCCACAGATGGACAGTTCCAATGCCCCAAGAAGAACGGTCAGTACGAGGACCCGGTGCAATGCGACAAGTTCTACGAGTGCAAAGACGGCGTGGCCACGACGAAACTGTGCCCTGACGGGTTAGTGTTCGACCCGCTGAACAGGAAGATCAACAAATGCGACCAGCCGTTCAGCGTGGACTGCGGCGAAAGATCCGAACTCCGTGAGTACTTACCGTGAACCGCGTATACCGCAGTGTCCGTTCGCTCGGATTTTCACAAAATAATGGTGATAATGATGATAATAATATACGACGTGAACTTTTAACGCGCCCGCAGAAACTCCGCAGTCCAGCTACTTGTGTCCGAGACGTAACGGGTACTTTGCCCACCCAGACGAAAAGGTGTGCAACATATTCTACAACTGCATCGAGGGCGATGGCACGGAAATCGTGTGCCCCAACGGATTGCATTTCGACGAGTACGCGGGATCGTGCGCCTGGCCCGCGACGGCCGGCAGGACTGGTTGCAACGAATCGGACGACAGTAAGACACACACGACGTTTTTGTTTTTTTTTCTGTTTTTAATATTGAAGCCGTTGTTTTCCACCCACCTAAACCCAAATCCGGGGGTGCTGGGTGTGGTGGCGTGTTAACCGTATTTAATAATTCGTGTCTTTTTTTCATACTATTATAGTGAAATTGAAAGACGGCTTCATGTGCCCCAAAGATAAGGTCCACAACAGCCGGGGCCAGAACGTGGCTCACCCCGTGTTCGCTCACCCAGACGACTGTCAGAAGTTCTACGTGTGCCTCAACGGCGTCACCCCCCGGGAACAGGGCTGTTCGACCGGCGAAGTGTTCAACGAGGAGTCTCAAAAGTGTGACCAACCCGAGAACGTGGCCGGATGGTGAGTGTATATTTTAGACGATAACGTATCTTCTGTTTCTGTTATATATCTTATCATGAATTACACATTATTATAATAAAATAATAATAATATGTACCTAGTTATAATCGAAACGCCTGTGTTTGAGTCACCTAACCTTGACGTAATAGCTCGTTGAGGAGTTTAATTTTCGTATTGTTATTGTTATTATCACCTACTATAATATAAGTATAACGGTATGTGAGTACGAAGTAATAAAATCGTATTGTTTTTTTTTCAGCGAGAATTGGTACAAAGACGATCCACAAGTGCAACAGCAGCAACAGAACAAGAACAAAAAACAATAGTTATTTCGCATTGTTTTGTTGAACATAATATAATTCATATTAAATGTATACTTTAAGTTACTATATATATATGTGTGTGTATAGCTTTATACCAAGTCAAATCTAAAATCATTATTGTTACGAATTTATATATAAATAATACATACTATGATGTAATACTAAATAAAATTTAACTTTATTACAATTACTTTTGTTGCATTGTTTTTTTTTTTTTTATTAGGTATTATTCAAGAAACAATCTCTTGGAAAATCTAGCACCCATTGTAAGCTATTCATTCATTTATTCTTCAACCTCGGAATATATATTAATATAATTGCAATCATTTAGTTACGAAAATTTGTAAAAATAGGTAGGTAAGAGTATGTTATAATATAAGACCAACTACATATGCTATTTTAAATTCAATTCACAGTATAAAACACAATTGCATTAAAATGACATGTATACTTAAAATTCAAAAATATTAAACCTGCATGGAGATATGTGATGTATATGAATAAAGAAAATATAAAATAATAAACCATTAAAAAAAATAATTAATTTTAATTTTAAACCACGGTGTTCCATTTGTATGTACATTATACACGCATTTATATAGTAAATTATAACCTAGGCATACCTACAAAACGTTATGTTGTACCTACCAATATAAAAATTATAATATTAACATATTATAATTAAATAAAAAGTGTTCTTAAAAATGTAAAAGTCTCGCTTTAAACTTTCATAGACTCGACTTATAGAAACGCTATAAAATAAAAGTATATAGGTACCTATAGCCAACAAAGTAAACGTAGTTGATCATATTTTTTGTAATTATATAATTTTTTTTACTGATGTATCAGACCTGTTTTAATGTCTTTGTTTTGATACAGTCAAAATTATGTAATTATCATAGTTATACTAATTCTCAAATTAAACGCCTCCAGTCCAGTTTCTATATAGCTTTCACCAAATTCAAGTGTTGCACTGGTTTGATGACGCAACTGTATAAAGGTGTCTTGATTTTAATAAGATGTGAAAACTTGTTTAATCCACACAATTTTCCATTAGTCATACCTCGTACACGCATATAGCTATTATGAAAAAAAAATTAAGGGATAAACAGTTTACATGAAGTTTATTTTTTCATAGAACAATTCGAAAACAATAACTACACAAATTAATAATATAGGTAAACGCACGTATTATATGGGTACGTTATATCTATATAATCGCGTCCCGGAATAATTCGTCCAAACAGCAACGACATTGTCAGACGTCGTTATTATCTGTTTAAAATTCTCGTAATAACCACTAGACATTTATACGTCAATTAAAATTCTGGGTGATAGTCGTTTATCGTCAAAGACAACCCGTAAATATAAATTACTCGTTAATAGTTTTTATCAAATTGAATTCGTTTAATTATATTTTACCATATAGCAAGCGGACATAACAAAAATCGTCGGACGCCGTAATACAGGTAGTTTTAAATTACGATGTTATTATGAATGTACAGCCGTTGGGCGAATACAAATATGTAAAGGTCACTTTCGGTATTTTCGGTTACGCCCGTGTTACCTATATGCCCGTAAACGGCGTGTAAAACGCACTGTCAGGAAATCGAATATGTACCCAGTGGGGCCTGTCTACCCAGCGGCTAACCTGCAGCGCGTGCACTGTACAGGGAGTTTGTTCCCGACGATAACATATTTTTTTGTCTAATAATCGTAACGTGTGATTACCGCCCTGACTCATCATCGTGTATGTGCACCGTAATTGTATTGTCGAGCTATAAATACAATAGTTTCTACTGAAAAGCTCTAAGATGAATAAAAAATATAATAAATCGTTATTAGGTAAGTACCTATAGTGCGGTATTAGAGAGCCAAGCGGCTGCTGTTATGTTATGGTTCACAATCACTCTGCTGCGGTTTCATATAAACATTTGAATAGTGATGGCCGACAATTTACATAATAATGTATTAATAATACCCATTATGTTGCGGAGATGTGATTCTTGTAGATATTATTAAAATTCAAATATTATATCAACGATTTCCACAAAGTGTTCAAACAGCCAGACGAGTCTTAAAGCCAATATAGACAGGAGGCGGCGGCGGTAAGGCCTATACGAGTATACATAACAAATATATATATAGGCGACACAGGTGCGCTACACGCATAACGACACTCGTCGAAGAATCGTTCGGAGCATAGGTTGTGGAGGTACACGAGTCCGTGTTTCGTCACGTACATCTATTGTGCGCCCATAAATTATTTTTTTATTATTATTATTATTATTATAAAACTCGCGGAGTGCAGCTTAAAACGTTCTCACACGAGCCCATTGAAAATCATCACGTGCGTGTATCGTGCATTATAATATTATTATTATGTTGTAGCGAACAGGAGTTCAAAAACCTTTTGTCGTCGGCACCACTACAACAGAGGTCGCGACAAGTCGCACGCGGGGGCTCCGCCGACTAGTTTTTCGTCTTCCGTCCGCGGCGGGTATACCTATACCTAGCTATAGTGCGTGCTCGAAGACCCGGTCCATTCGTAATCCGCTCGCCTTTTACCAACCATGGTTCTGCACGCTCCGACCGCTACCGCCGCTGCGCTTGTTCTGTTCGTGGGTAAGTACCTATATATAGTTATATATATAATGAATATACTATGAAGACTTATAACTGATAAAATATAAAGATACCAACTGCGGATATACCGCGGTATACCGTATACCGTGCACACAGTGGTATAGTGTCGAAACTATAATGGTTTCCACCAAGCTTACGAAAAAAAATTTAAAAAAAATTCTTATCTATTGCATTTTATTATAAACATTATAAATGATATTACACGATCCAGTCTAGTAACTTACAATTCTGATAACCGCCTGTGTATGTGTGTATAAAGTACCTATAAACTATAATCGGGGTGTACATTACTACGTTAATAATATCACGTATATTGCAACTGGCACATACCTAAAATTCAAATAATATTATATGCACGTGATGCTCATAATCTATTTTATCTATTTTATGTCGTCAATATACGTGCATATGGGTATAAGCGAAACGCACGTGCGCGTACGGTTTTTTCGCTTAGCCCCATGACAATATCGTAAATTTGTAATAATTTCCTGCACTCGTCATTTAACGCCCCCGTGTAAGTAGGCATTGCTATAGTTGTCAAGTTAATACCTTATGTCCAATAGCACATTCAAATCTATTTCATTGGAGTTGTTTTTTTTTTTTTAATTTGACTCTGCCTAAATCTATTGTTACTTCCCCAGTGACTAATTAATTACAACAAAAACAAAAATATTAAAACACAATAAAAATTAATGACAGTGAAATGTCTTCGTGAAAAAATTGTTTGCCATCGTATGGTCATACATATTATTATTAAAATATTATATGTGTCTGATGACCTCGAGGTGATGACGAGTTATACTTTTAATCGATTGTCGACGATGTACTTAGTCATGGATACATATCAATCGAAAGAAATTATTCTTGGAGTCCCTCTAGCCCCCTCCCCACCCAAATCTTACATATTATAATATTATCATACATTTGCCTAAAATAATAAAATATAATGTCTGTGTGTGTGTGTGTGTGTGTGTGTGTTCGTGTGCAGGCCTATCCCTCGGACAGGAACAGAACAACCGCGAATTCCAATGTCCCCAGAAACCGGGGTTCTACGCCGACCAGGTACAATGCGATCTGTACTACCACTGCTCCGTGGACGGCGAACTAACGGAAAAACTGTGCCCCGATGGACTGCTGTTCGACGACAGCAGCCCGAGTCACGAGAAATGCGATACGTCCGTAAACGTGGACTGAGGCCAGAGGACCGTTCAGCGTAAGTGTTTATCGTATTAGCAACTAATATATATTATATTTATGTCCACATACATAATATAATATGATATTATGGTATCCTATTATTATTATTATTATTATTATTATCGTGAGTTATAACCGTGTGTAACCTCATTTGGCATGTGTTTGGCCGTTGTCGATGGTTCGGTTATATTACGATCCGGTCGATATATCGCATAACAACATAATAATAATATGTAGTTTAATATCAGTGGCAGACTTGAGCGTAAAAAAGTGTCAGTGGGCGAACACGTGATCTGCCCTGCCCATAAATGTAGAACGGTGATAATTTTTTTTTTCAAAAGGGCTTTATAGACTTATAGTGTACCTATATAATACTAAATTATAGTGCTTCGTTACCATACATATAAAGACCTACAACTCAAAAATTTTAAATTGTATGTTTTTATATCTCTGAACAAATTCCTCTTTTTTACTATGGCATTATCCATCTATAAATTTTGAAATTAAATGTATTACAATCATTTCTGGGACATTATGTTTCTATCGATAAAGTGTAAACAACTTATTGCATTAGAGTCTACAGTAGTATAGTTATTAGACTACTACAGAGTAATGAATATGCGAGAATAACGTAAGTAAAACAAACTAAAATGTCAATGTTATGAAATATAATATTTTGAAAACAATACGATAATACTACATTTTTAAATAAAGCTTAATATAAATATATCAAATATTTGATAAAAAGTATAATGTAATATGTATATTGTTTGTATTCTGGTTACACTGCCATAATGTTTAGTTTAAATTAAAAATGTAATTTTGATAAAAATATTTTATTACGATGTAGGGTAAAATGTTGTATTATATGTAATGACAAAATTTAAATTAAATAATGCAAAACCATATATCTAAATATTTTTCAAAAATGTACATTTAATTTTTTTTTAAACATAACTACTCATTTTCATGAATTTGTTGAAAAACGCTATCATAATAGAATCACAATTTCTTTTATACGCAAGACTATGGTTTAAGTAACCGACAATATTAATAGAAATGATTAAACTTTAAAAATGCTCCCCTGCAAAACTTACATTTTTTTAGTTAGGTATGACTTGGGGTCTTTGAATACCAGCAGTGCAGTAGGTGCATACATCTTAAGCTCTTCCTCCATATGCAAAACTT